CAACTCTGGATACAAGGAAAACTATACAAAGCAACTTACTGGACTTTGTAGTAATTAAAGAATCGATCAAATCCAACCACAACTGCACCAACCTACATTGATTGAAGGTATTCATGTATAAGCAAGACGTCAATATATAAACCAAGTCAGCCAGCATTTCTGAATACTTATTATTGTCATGTGATGGTTCTTATAAAAGTCTAGGAGATATTACACTTTCATCATGCTCCATCAAGTAACCAGGCTTCAATTCTATTTTCTTACTTCCATCTTCCTGCATGAGAAAGTACAGATACAACAATCATATTCACATTCGTGGGGATTATGATGAACAAACAAAACTTAAGCATATGACGAGAGTGATTGACACAAAAATTCCCTGATTTCTGCTTAAATAAGCTTTTTATGAAGCCACTGGATACCTTAAGCTTACACAGACATAGTTTGTCTTTTTCTAGAAAAGCTAGGTCACCTTTTCTCCAATTAAGATGAAGGACAAGTTTGATCTTTGGGGCTAATGTAAGTTATAAAGAATATATTGCATAAAGCAGTATATAAAATACCTCAACTTCTATGACTATGTTGCCTTTGCCTCATACTAGATAATGAAGCAAGTTTAATCTTTAATGCTGACCTGTATAGGTTGAACTTTGACAAGCTACAAAGGTTATCTTACTCAAAGCCTTAAATTGCCAAAATATGGAACTCTGTGGCTTTGTTTCATTTGTGGTATACTAGTACTAATTAACAAAATGGGTATTTTGACTAGAGATTCTACATTAGTTCAATGTACAGCCCATTTTGTCTAATGAATTAGGAATGCCCTAAACATAGCAGATCAGATCCAAGTATTATAAGACGGAAAACCTAACCTATTACACATAACACATAATAGGCTGTTGAGAATGCAATGCAATTTCCAAAAGTTCATGCTACACAGAAGAAATTTATACCGGACCACCAAGGTATTGGAATCCGGCAAGATCAAGCTCCTTCAAGATGCCTTCCTCGCCAATTACATAGACCTGTGAGATGTAATAATCATCAGTAAACAACCAAGATATTAAATTCAATAAATTGATGATAAATGGAAGTGAAACGCAAAGTCATGAGCCAGAACCTGGTATATTCAGATTCAGAACAACAGACCGCAGACAGTGATGGTTAATAATAACATCTCAGCAAACTTAATTAGAGCTAGATTGTACTTTGTGACACTACATGGAGACATATACAGGTAGTTCTCAGTCTTTAGAAATAAATTGAAATTTATCTACCACAATGTTATAGAGAGCTCTAACTAACAATACTTCGGGTTTTTAGCCCTTGGCAAATGGGAATGACACATGCATTCAGGTCATATAATTTGGATAATTCATGCTCAAAACATAAAGTCTTCCATGTAAAATTAGGAATTCACCTCAAAGGCATACCTTTTTATCTTTCGGGAAATCAATTGATTTAAGGTAAGCCGCAGCAGCAAAAGATGAAGCGAAAATTTCCTCCTGAGGGGAGTGTTTTATGAGTTTAGTAAACAAGTTCACAAAGAATTTAAATGTTCAATACAACATATCCAGAACTAACCTCAGTAACACTAAGGCCAAGTGTCTCAAACTTCTTTCCATATTGCTTCCTAGACTTGGTTGAGTTATTGGTAACAAATATCAGTCTTTTACCCTGTGTAATAGATGAAGCCATTAAGTACCCTAACAGAATGAAGAAAGAGCTGGTCATACTCAAACTCACAATATACCTCTCTAATTTAAAGCACCTAGATAGAAGTATTAAGTAGTCAGGCTTAATAATTAGGATATAAAAACCTTTTCCCTTAGCAAGTCGAGTGTTTCTGGGACTCCATCAATCAGTTTATCCCCTTTCCATATAACACCTACAAACATAGAGACGTATTAACATCTTTCACAAGAAGATCATTTTATGTTGACTTTCCAATATTTGTAAAGTGGGCAGGTAGGATAAGTAGAGTATGATCACTTATACGCCCAATTGAGTCCCATCATAGAATCAATTGGCAATGGTAGGAACTAGGAAATAGGAAAAACAACCCGATTTTAAAAGATGGTTAGTATCTCTTCTCTTCACCAATGTACCGAATAGCCCACATTGAGGTGCCAAACCTTCCCGGACAACTCACATGTGCACACATAATGAGTTGATCTCGACATTTACCCCTACCTCCCACACACCAACACCAAAATCACAAAGAACCAAGAAAGCATGAACAAAATGGTTCTGATACCGAGATTAACCCAACCAATGTAAATGCCTAGTTCTCTGGGCAATCCAATATACACATCAAACAGTAGCTTTTAGCAGGAATTACATCATACACTATTATAAAACTCTTGCCCATCAAATATTATTTTCATATCTCTAAAATTGAAGTTGATACCCTATTTGTGAACAAATTATCTAATTCAAGAAACGATTTGGTGACATTATTAAACTATAAACATCTACATTCGCCACTTTCAAAGAGCTATCAATCATTCTCCGTCGTAACAATCATGATGTCATTTAGTCGGTAAAGTCTACAATATTAACTCCAAACCAATCAAACTAAAAATCCATCATCATCATATCTTCGCCACTATAATCAATTTTCCAGCAAAATCCAAAAAAAAAAACAAAAAAAAAAACAAAAAAAAACAAAAAAAAAAAAAAAAAAAAAAAAACAAAAGCAAAGAAGGAGAGATTGAGTTTAGCATCAAACCATCGCAATCGAAAATGAAGGTTTCAACGGAATCAATAAGTTCATCAGGATTCTTCAATTGCTGAGCAGAAGCACGAGGAGAGAAATTCGACGCCATTCTACGAGAATCAAAATTCCTGCTACTGTAGCATTTGAGAGTGAGAAAATGAAGAGATTGGCGGGAAAATGAGGAGAGATTTCTCGGATTGGTGATGAAATTGGAAGAAATTAGGGTTTTGGAGAGAGAATTAGAAGCAACGGAAATGGCTGCTCTGCTAGTGCTGCAACTACTCAACATCTTGACTGCAATGAAGGATGATGATCTGGTTTAAGTGATTTTGTGGCCGTTATGTTTTTTTGGAAAAAAGGGCGGGCCGCGGGGGGTGTGGTGGGGCTAACATGGTTTGTGTGAGTGGTTATAGTTGTAGTTTCATTTATCTTTGATGAATGATGAGTATGGGTCTACCAAATTCATGTAGTTTATTATTCGGATTCGTTTCATTTTGCCCGTGATCTTAGTCAAACTCTATGTATTTTATCATTCGGATTTATTTTATATCGCCTGTGATCTTAATGACATTAATAATATTTACTATGTAATTTAGATTTAGAAACAATTGATCTTAAGTATTTACAGTAATAATTTGAATTTAAGCTCCTTGTTAAATGATTTAGGGTTAAATGAAAGGATGTTTAGAATTAGAAGGATGTGAAGATTTAGGGTGCGTTCTATTCACCTTATCTGACCTTATTGACCCTTATTAGAACTTATTTTAGTTATAAATTAAACTTGGCAGCCCTGATTAACTCTTATCACAACTTATCTGAACTTATTTTTCCCGAACTAATCTTATCTAAACTTTTGTGAACTTATTATTAACCTTTATTTGAACTTATTAACCCTCAAATAAGTGGAAATAAGGTAAATACAACAGAGCCTTAATGTTGCAGTTATACATTTGTTCTAAATATTCATTTTTCATTGTATGTTTTTAACTATATGGACATCCAAATCAAATTATATGTACATTGATCCTTCTCATTTGATCCTAACCCAGTTCACAATGTTTTTTTTTTTTTTTTTGGTCGTGTTCACGAAATATGAGATTTTACCTCTATTCACTTTTAATGATTTCAACCGGTCCTATTGTAGCAAGTAACCTATGTATGTATGCCTGAAATCATTACCAAACCACCTTCTTCCTCCTCCACCCACCTAGACATCTTCCAATCTTCACATCCACTACCGACCTCATTTCCTTCAACAATGACCCCCCCCGTTTCCACCCCCGCCCCCCACTCCCTCCAAATCTCCCCACTCATATGTACCCTTTACCAGCGACCACATCCTTTTCGTCCTCTTATACAAAGACGGATCCAGGAACTTTGTATAGAGCATGTCATATAAACTATGAAGTAAGAACAATTATTTAATTTGAAAAAAACAAACAAAATTACAAGTTTTGGGATTTGAACCCCTTACTTAAGGGACTAGAATGGGTATTACGGCTAGCAATAAAAAAACCAACTTCTTCACCATAAAAATATAAAATAAAAAAATCAACTTAGCTAGTTTTCTTGTGCTTAACAAGTGTATCAACGGACTTATACGATTCAAACCAAAACTTATTCATAATGGCATGGGTAGGCTCGCCCCTGCATACGTCTTTGCTCTTATATCAATGACTTATATGCTTGAAACCAAATCCTCCTCATTCTCCCTCTTCCGCTCTCTTCCCTAAATCGTTGCCAAAATCACAGCTATTTGTCCATAGCACTATAAGTCTATAACACCATTAAGACCACATCCTTAGCCCTTGGTTATCTCTTCACATGTTTCGCCATTGAAAACCCTATCTATATTTTCCATACCACCATATGACAACTTTGGCCGTGGGGTGAGGGTGGTGCTGATGGTTTTAAGGGTTTGAGGTGTCATCAAATAGTGTTTTGGGTGGTCAAACAACATTGTGGGAAATAAATTTGTCAACAACTACTTTACAAAAATTCGACTTTTACGAACATGTATTGTATACATTAAAATTTGTAAACAATAGCATGAATAGCTCTTACAAGCTTAACTCTAATCTCATACCAATTGGATTATCTTGTTCCTTAACCGTGGCTAAAATCTGAAACATATTGGCCTTGTTGACAACGTAAAAAGATCAATCATGGGCTGAGTTTGTTTTGTTTTTATACGTGTAAATATCATAAATCATGTGATATATTAGACACACTATAAGAGACATCGCATGCGTAAATATCCTTTAGCCAAATCCATCGAGTGAAAAGTTTTTCAAAGCTCATTTGTATCACATACTACGTATTAAAACAGGGGAAAGTCTATTTTTCATACTAAGATAAAGACTTTTATTTTCAAAACCCAATAACCAAAGTTTTAACCGTTGACTATTATAGTAAAAAAAAAAAAAAAAGTACTCCCTATGTTCTAGAAAAATAGACATATTCGACCTTACCGATTCCAGGAGATCTTTCTCACCCCGAGTCCTTTGTAGCTCTCTAAATAAAAAAAATAAAATTGTCAACTATATTTCATTATTTTGAATTACTCTTGTTTTCCTAAAAATTTATTGTCCACCGACCTAAAAATCTTGAAATGTGCAGTAAATTTTTTGTCCACCGACCTAACAGCTTCGATTTTTTTCATACGGAGTACTTACTGAAATTTCTTCAACCAATCTCCGAATGTAAAAAAGTAAAAACCACTGTCATCTTTACCGATTTCCGAATATTACTCGACCAAAAAAAAAAATTTAAAAATTAAAAAATTGTCATCTTACTGTCTCTCATTCCAAAACCACTCCATTAAACGGTTAAACCCTCTTCCTCTTTCTCTCTCCTCCATTGAAGCGCGTGCTCTGACTTCTCCTTTGAACCAGCTTCTGAGCTTTCTCTTTTTCCATTGAAGCATCTTCTGAGGTAAGATTTTGTTGTTAATTTTTGTTATAATTCCTTTTTTTAATCATCGAATATCAGTTTCATAATCTAGGGTTTATCGTATAATTAATTGTCAGTATAGCCAATTTAGGGTTCTTGTTAGGTGGATTATTGAACAATTAATTATAATTAGAAAGATTATAACAAGTGATTTTGTTGCTAGAATTTTGATTTGTGCAGTTTATGTTAGATAATTTTAAGCGAGAAGAATTTTCTGTGATTTTGGGGATTAATTTTGATAATTGAGTGAATTCGATTGAAATTGTGTTTCAGGCTGTTGATTATATTCCTTAATTGTTGGGTAGAAATCTGGAAATGGATCCTACCGACGAGGACGCGCTCCTTGCGAACTCGAGGTACTTAACTCGGCAGGAAGTAATAAAACGGCGAGTTCGTCGACTGAGGCGACTCACTGATTGTTACAAGGGTCATTATTGGTCGTTAATGGAGGATGTGAGGCGGAAACACCGGGAGTATTACTGGATGTATGGGAAAGGACCTTGCAGGGAAGAAGATAATGAGGCCGAGGAGAGAGATAATGGCGTCGGTACTAGTAATGGGATCAATGGCAGTGGCGTTAATGGTAATGGTAATGGTAACAGTGAAAATGGTGGTAGTGGTGATAAATTAGGGGTGGAGTATGGGAGAAGTTTCAGTTGGTGCTCTTACAGTGGGTGTGAAGGGAAAGCTATGGCGTTAACGCGATTCTGTATCTTGCATATAATGAGTGATAGCAAGCAGGTGCTCTACAAAAAATGCAAATATCCACAATTGAGGTCTTCCTCTTTCTTTCTTGTTGATTTCTTTTTTTTTTTTTGGTTTTCATTGATTGTTATAATTGGTTGATTGTTGAATTATTTAGATTATACTACCTCTGTTTTTTGATAATCCACACATTTGACTTTCAAGTTTGTATACACAAAATAATTAATATCATTAATAAGAATCATCTAAAAATTTGATATAGTGAAACTATACCTTGAAACTAATACTGCACCAGTTTACGCACTGATATTTGTAAAATATTGAATATAGGAATTGCTTGTTTTCTGGTTGTTTGTAGTTGATTACTTGTTTTTCTTGGGTTGATTACACATGTAGTTGCGTGATTGTGCTAGTTACTTTTTGACAAGTGCATAAAGTTACGTGAAGACCGAACAAGGAGAGGTTGAGATAGTAAATATACTCAATTATGTGGTAAATGAGGAATGATATGTTAGGGAATAGAAAAAACCAAACGGGTGCTAGTGTTTTGTTTGTAGGAATGGGAAGGATTCTAAATTCTGGTTAGTTATTATTACCCGTGAGGTTTTGGAAGAAGTGAAGATTTAGGGGAATAAATGTCATGTTGTCTTTAGCTTTCCTTGTACTTACATTTACGCTTTGCTTGGATAAGAGGAGGTGATGAGCAAGGGAGGTAAAGGAAAGGGAGGGGAACAAGTTCCTTGGTTCAAATCAGATGTTTGGGGAAGGGAAGGGAAGGGAAGGGAGAGCGAAGGGAGAGAGAGAGGTAGAGGTAGAGGTAGAGGATGAGATTCATTTTCCTTCCCTCCTTTCTTTCCCCTCCCTTTCCTTATCCTTCTACCGTTCTATCCTAACAAATCCTTAGCCACTCTGGGAGGAAGGAAAGTGACAATTCAGTATAGGAGGCTTTCTTACCACACCTTTTCGTTCTGTATGAGCTTCCTTAAAATTATAAGAAAATTTTATCATGAAAAGTTACTTTATTCCGTACCCTTTCTCTTTCTCCGTGCTCCTTTCCATTCCACAAGCTGCTTATGTATATGTCATGTTTGACTAATTTTTGGGAAATGATATAATCATGGGTCTCTTGGCCCTATAGTTAGTATGCTCTTCAATGACTTCTAGATTTTCTGAAAATTAGAGACATCAATGAGTTTAGGGCATTGAGGCTCTTCATTTGAATGCGCATAGGAGTGGGTGATGCACTGAGAATCTAAGATCAACATGAGGGATCCCGTGAGGTTCAAAGATCAACATGAATGCAATTTAGAGTTTTGAGCCAAAGTTGAAAGAAATTACGGGGCTTAAAGAAGAATAATCATCAAGCTGTGCATTTATTAAAGAAAAGAGATTTACCACCTTTTGTGAATTGGAAGTCGATATCAGATGATTTTGGGAGGGTAGTTTGGAGTGAAGTTTGAAGGATATTTTTACTCAAAAGTCGGAGTAATGTGCATCTATGATGCATTTGTTGCTGACAAACGGCCTGGAACTACTCCCTCCTTTCTTTTTTCATTGCAACAAATTCCCTTTTGGGAAGTTGCAAAATTACTATCTTTGGCTCATGTTTCTCTCTATCTCTCTCCTCATCACATGGGTCCATTCCCCCCCCCTCTCCCTCTATCTCTTTCATAGCTTTAAAAATTGTGCATCCTCCCCCCTCCCCCCACCGTGTTGCAATTAAATAGAACAGAGGAAGTGTATTCCAACTACTGTGGGTGGATTGCACAATTTTTCTGTCACATTTTTAACAAAAATGATTTTTGGTTTATCTTCCTTTGGAGGTATAAGTATTTCCTTAGTGTTTGACACTTTGACGCTACCATTTAGTGGTGATATTCTGCCGTATGATGAATAAAATTGCTTACTGCTTTAGGCTTTTTGTAATTGATGCCTCATAGCATAGAGGTTTTTGCTTGCTACATCTCCCGGGCCTCGCCCAGCTATCAACTCCCACCAAAACTGGTGGCCATAACACTGGTGACAATATCAATATATCAGTGCCAGCAAATTTTCATCTCACTTTTCTTCTGGACATTGGCAATTCACCACCAAGATGGGTTCAAATTGGGAACAAGACTGACAAGTATCTGGACAATTTACCAATCATGTCTATTACATCTAAGTATCCTATGGGCATCACCAACCTCTGCCAGTCTTGTTCATCAATTGTCCATCCTCTATTCATGATAGGAGCTGAGATAATATCAAATCACTTTATGCTCCCCCATTAGCTTAAAAGTGTTACTAGATAGAAACAATCAAATCTTTGCATATAGCCACTTCAGCTGTGGACTGTGGTACATAGTAAATCTCCTCGTGCCACTTCTTTGTATAAAAGCAACTTCCTTGCCTTTTGGTTAAGGAAACAAATAAGAGAGTTTGTCTATGCAAAGAAAAGAATGGAAAACCTTTGATGCACTCATGTTTATAATTAAAGGACCCCTTTATAGTTTTTACCATTCCTCTTCCTTGATAAATCAGCCAAGTTTTCCAGGAAATCGTGTCTAGCTACCAGTTATGTGTAGGTAGAAGCAACGTTTTCAGTTCAACTCATCAAATGGATGGTGTTTGCTGCCGATTTCCATTGACTGGTTTAGGATTCAAAGTTTCAAACACAACTCTAATTATGTGTGTTGTGTGTTTTTTCCATCTGTAATAGAAAGAATTCTTCTAGCCTTCTAGATATTATGGAAGACATGCTTTAAAGGTCCACTTTTGACATCTTCACACTTGTAACTTGAATTTGTATTTATGAAGTATTTATTCTATTCACCAGCTATGCCAGTAAGAAAAAAATTCTTTGATGCTCATATGCTTGTGCTGTTGACTAATTTGACTTTGTTTCAATGCGTTTTGCCAAATGTATCTTGATTTACTTTCCAAATATGAAAAATTCTAAATATTGTAGGGTTTTGGAGTCATTCTTTACTTGTTTCTTCATGTTTCCGCATCTGAAGCATATTGCAAATGCACCATGTCAGCCACCAGGTGTTCTATCTGATATTTGTTTGGGGTTTTAACTACTGTGCTGTTTTCTTTTTTCTGTGGGCAAGAGTCAGCTGCCTTCTGCTTAGTTTTGTTACAGCTTCATAGGAAGTTATTGCCTTTTTTTTTTGGCCAAGTAAATGTCAGGTGCAAAGTTTTACTATATGCAAAAATTGGTACTTATCCTAATTTTTTATCTTGTCAATAATGTGTCAACTTTTGCTCGGAACAGAGACGGTGGGCGGATTGGTTCCCTTCTTTGTAATAAGGCTATACTAAGCGCTACCACTCCGACTCTCTGCCAGAGACATGCGCTGGATGCTAAGAGGCACATCAGCCAGGCTTTGAAAAAGGGTGGTGTTTCTGCTGCCTTGTCTAACAAGGCTGCTACCAAGTTTCATCTTGTGATAAATGAGTACGTCCAATTGATTCAATCTAAGAGAAGATATATTGCAAGAACTAATAAGGATAACATTGCAATTGAGAATGGCGGTAATTGAATAATCTAATCTACTTTTTATCAGTATATAATCAGCATTTAGTGTGGTTGATGGAGCACAACATTTGACATATACCGATCATGAAATTATGGGCCTCGTCTCTGCTACACCAGACCAGATGTTTCCTTCTCCCGTTAATCTATAGTGTGTATGATGTTTTCCTACCTACCCCCCCCCCCTCCCCCGTCTGCCTTTTAATGTTTCTTTTCCTGAGAGATGATCTGTTACTTTGTTGTTAGGGGAGTGAATCTAGAGCTGTGCATGACAAATGATCACTTTATCAGTCGGTGCTGTATATAATTGCTGTATAGAACCTATTCTCTGCTAAGGCTTGATACTTCTGAACTCTTGTGTAAGTATTGTTCATGAGCATTAGAATGTTACGATATAAGTGTATAATACAGCTCCCCCAGATCCGCCCCTTGGATCTTTAGGCTCCCCACCTCACACTCAACGACGGAAACTTAAACTTTGACTGTCGACTCAAAAATAAATTGGTCGAAATTGTATTTCCCAGTATGGAGAGACTATAAGACTAATTGCCTAGTTCGGCTAATTGGTAATGTACATACATATTACTAGACCTAAACCCGAAAATGGATGTCCCAGATGAACGTGATCCTGAACTAGAAGATTTGATAGCCTCCTCTAATGTTTGTATCATTGTATCATTTGTACTCCGTATGTAGTGGCCAGTCACCAGTGGGAATACGCAACTTGATTTATTATCCCATAATGTATACTAAGTTTAAGGTTATTTATATAAATAAGATGGGACATAGCTCTTAGATCTTCGTTAGCATTAATCTATTTCCCAAAGTAGATTAGTAAACAGCTTATCTCAAACAATGGACATCTCAATTTAACCATTTGATACACTTCATTTTTTTGGGAAATTAATGTTTGTTCAAATGGTGCACTTCTTTTTGGGAAAGTTTTCTTTATTATTTAGAAATTTGATACATATCACCTAAGTCGCTAAATGTCATTTTAGATTGGTTGATAAATCGATAAATCTAATTTCATTTTAGTACGGAGTAATATATTACTGAAGTACAAAGCACTATATACGTAGGCGTACATCATAGAGATTGTTTCATAAATTGTTTTTTGACGGGATCATAAATTGTTACTATAATTTTTTTCGTGCACTTTGGGCCTGTTCTCATTGACTGAACTGAATTGAGCTGAACTGAAGTGAAATGAATATTTTATAAGAGAAGGAAATTAGGAGCTGAACTGAGCTGAGCTGAACTGAACTGAATTTCAACGTAAGAGAACATACCCTTTGTATATAATGGAGTAAATTTTTTATTTTTTTTGAAAGAAACTAATGAAGTGCTTAATAATCCGTAAATTTAAATTCTATTTCTTCATCCCACGTATATATTCTATCTACTCTTTATTAAACTTAGGGTTTGTTCTCTTACGTTGAAATTCAGTTCAGCTGAGCTCAGTTCAGTTCAGCTCAGCTCCTAATTTCTTTCTCTTATAAAATATTCATTTTAGTTTAATTCAGCTCAGTTCAGTTCAGCTGAGTTCAGTCAATGAGAACAGACCCTTAGATTGCTAGTCAATTCTTCACCTAACTCCAAGTTTTTTTGGTCACTAGTGATATTTTTCATCGCAAACTACCACATTACAGGGTACTAATACACTCCATTAGTCACCCAAATTCCATACTTTACAATATAAAAAGTTACTTAAAAAAGATTATTCCTCTTTTCTTACGGAGTAAAATAAAAAAAATACTCCATTTTCTTTGATTTTCTGACGCAATATTCTTTAATTTACCTTTGTTTTTTTAAAAAATATCATCTACCTTTTCCTTCAATTTATTAATCCCCTTCTGTCTAAAAATCAGTCTTCATTCACCCAACTTTTCCACCTAAAAAAAATCGCCAATTTCCACCTTCATTTTTCTTCCTTCCTTCACTCACCAACAACAACCACAACCGCCGCCTCCGCCATTGATAGATCTCGAAGCTCCATCAATGGCGTCTTCTTCCTTATCATCACAACTCCGTTATTCCCCTCTTTCTTCTTCCCCTCGTCAATTCTCCCCTTTCTCTTCAAATCGCCTTTCTTCTCCAAATTCCTTCTCTTACCCTCTCAATCAAACCACCAATCTCCGATTATCCTCCTCCTCTGATAATCTCCCCCACCTCTGCTTCGCCTCCAATGGCGGCGACGGCGGCGCGGGTTTCATCGGCGGTAATGGCGGCGGAAAAGGAGGAAATTGGAACTCCGGCGATGGCGGAGATTCATTCTCTGAGTCCAACGATGGAAATGAAAGCTCGTCGTTTTGGGAGAATATAGGGTTAATTGGGATTTTCATCAAAGGGTGGAAATCTAGGGTTTTAGCCGATCCTCAATTTCCATTCAAAGTATTAATGGAAGAACTCGTTGGTGTTACATCTTGCGTAATTGGGGATATGGCATCTCGCCCTAATTTCGGTCTCAATGAACTCGATTTCGTTTTCTCAACATTGGTTGTTGGATCGATTTTGAATTTTACCCTAATGTATCTTCTAGCTCCTACTGCTGCTTCTGCTTCATCTTCATTACCCTCGATTTTCGCGGGTTGCCCGAATAGCCACATGTTTGAGCCCGGATCATTCGGGCTCATGGCCCGTTGTGGCACCTTCGTTTACAAGGGTGCAATCTTTGCTGCGGTTGGTTTTGCAGCTGGATTGGTTGGGACTGCAATGTCTAATGGATTGATCGCAATCAAGAAGAAAATGGACCCGGGTTTCGAAACCCCGAATAAAGCGCCTCCTACCCTGTTGAATGCTGTTACTTGGGCGCTTCATATGGGGTTGAGTAGCAACTTGAGGTATCAGACATTGAATGGGGTTGAGTTTTTGTTGGCGAAGGCGGCTTCGCCGGTTGTTTTTAAGTCGTCTGTGGTTGTTCTGAGGTGTTTGAATAATGTGCTTGGTGGGATGTCTTTTGTTGTATTGGCACGGATGACTGGCTCGCAGAGTGTGACACCCACGGCCGCGGCCGTGGGTTCGGGTTTAGATGATGGAGAGGAGAAAGAGAAGGAGAAGTTGGTGGCAAATTAGTCGACTATTAATGGTATAATCTGGTGTTATTGGTTAAGTGTTTTGCAGTATTAACACAGTTGAATTTTTACAGTTGGTTGAATTGAGGAAGATGACTATAATAATCAGTGATTGCTAATGTTTTTGTCATATGACAATTTAACTTTCATTGAAGATTTGGTTGTTTTTTTTTGTTAGTGCTAAGAATAAACTTGGGTTTTGGTTAGTTTTGTGGTAGGTTTCTTTTGTAGAATAAGCATTGAACAATAATTTAGTACACTAGTACAAATCAGCTGAGCTTGGTTTCTGTTTGTTTCGCTTTTGGTTTTTATTGTAGATGATCATAATATTATCCGAGTAGTCATCATCGTTTGGTTAGACGTAGGAAGTATTGCTTCTCACGAAGCTGTAATTCAAACTATCATACCTATGTATTGCAAGGACTAATTTCAGTTCATGGTTGCGTTTATAAGAGAAATTTTTCAATCATCGATTGTGGTAGGTTTATAGAAACCTATTTTATTTGGATTTTTGCTAAAATGTTATGCAATTACAAACAATCTCACATGTTCACTTGAGAACAATCTGTCAGTTTTCTTGTACTAAATATGGTTGACTGAAACAAAATTTGATTCAGACATCAGAAGTGCATAAATTTGACAGCTATCAGAATATCAGATGGTTACTCAATCTTTTTTGTCAGTTCTCCAAAGTATATATGGTGAGTTGTTGAGATAATTTGCCTTCCTCTTGTGTGCATGTATGTGTTTCTACTTAGCAATTGATCCAAGTTATCCAGGGTCTTGAGCACATGAACACTTGAGGCATGTCCTTGTCAGGTAAACGTGTTATTGACAGGCAATGGGCCTTCTGCAATCGAAAGTTACAAAATGTTCCTTTTTGAGGTTCATATCGCGTTCATCCAAAGATCAGTATACTTTTGCGTCCTCTAATATATGGTGTCTTGTACACATGGTCAGGTCGAACCTCCCTAGTAATCGACTAATCGGTCATGATCATAATATTCTTGTTGTCTCTTGTAGTTTGCTGTTTGTATGCTTCTTGCTATCTCAATGGAAATGGACAATGCCTCAATGGTCAATTTTATGTGAAAGAAGTGAAAATGCTGCTTTGTTCTTGTCTTATGAAAACTGCTCTCTTTCTTTCTAGGTTTACCTACCAATTTGGATTTTCTGTATTCTTATGCTTCTCATCAATTTCACCAATCTAATTCCGTATATGAATAATTATGTCTCATTCAAAAACCTTAAATGGTAATCATACACTTGGCACCAACTTAACCCATTGCAAAAAAGAAGATCCTTGTACTTCTCCATAGTGTGATGTTTTCATGTTTCAATTTGATTGGTTGATGGCATCAAAGGATTTTGGTGGAAAAACACCACACACAATAGCAAATTAGAGTGTAAAAAATATTAATATTCAGAATACTTTAAGTAGAGAGTGAGGGATAGTTCAGGTGGTTAAAACTCTCCTCTCGATTTCAGATCACTTAATTTCGAGTCTTATGCAATAAGACTATTTGCACACCCTAAAAAATTCGAAACCTAGCATCGTAGTTAATTATTGCACTCGTGATACAAAAAAACTGTTTTTGTCGATCCTACTTCACCGGCACCACCCTGGCAGCAGTGCCCTCCAAGAATTGAGAGTAAACCACCATCAATGAAGTGATCCTAATCTAGCCCATTGTAGTCAGTTTCAGTTAAATGTTCTGACATCTGACAACAACGGGCCCAATCAGCATTACTGTGAATCACATTAGGCCCATGCCAACTGTGTAAGGCCCAAATATGGATCTTGCTGTTGGAGCCCTGTTAGTTGGCCCATGTATTAAATAAGTCAGGCCCAAATCAGATGTTGATGCTGATCTGAGCCCTTCTGTTGTGAGTTTTACCAAAGCATGGAATGTTAATGCTATGCATGATAAATTTTCATGATTTTGTCAGGGCATTTTCACAACCAATTTTTAAGAAAAATTGTACACCCATGATCACAGCACTTCAAGTGTATGGTTAACATCAGTGGGCCCCGTTGTAATTATTCGACAGTAATAAATGACGATAATGATATTGAATTTGTATACGATTTTATCTGTGAGGGAAATGGATTAATGTTATTAAGAATAATGTATTAATGTTACTCATTTTAATTAAAACAATAGTTCAATTGAAAAAAAAAAATCTTAATGTGGTTTGTTCTTCACCAACCATTTGTCTCACTTTTCTCATTCTAATTAATGGGATTGTTGCTAAGATGGCCGCCCTTCTTTGGCTTTAGGGATAAGATGAGCTTATTGCCTTATTCCCATGTGATTTCAATTTTTTGGGTAACATTTTAAAGAACATTTTCGACCACTAAAGTTCTACATCAATCTTAAAAATAAATAACAAGAGATTTTTTATTGAATCGTGTACGACAATTCATATTTATAGTTTCAATAGTTAGGTAGATAGAGTTGCAAAAATCTCCCAAAATAGACTGATTCCTACAATTTGTTTTAGCCTCTCCCATGCCATTTTAAGACTTTTTTTTTTTTTTAACAAGTAAGACATTGTTCTTTTCATTTCATAAAAAAGGAATATAGAATACATTTTACTAATTAAAGTTAAATTAATTTGTCATAACTTTATTTTAAACAACCAGATTTAAATATTATTTTTCACCTAAAGATAATATTTTAACATAAATGTGACGTAATAAAATTTTATTTTAATTTGTTTCGATTATTTATACAAAGTATATAATATATACCCGGACTAGCTAGGTACTTTTTTAAATGACATATAATCAATGTAAAACTTGTTATGTATATGCTTTTATATTCCTAACAAATTGGTTTTTAGAGTTCTATATTTGTGAAAAAAATATATACTCTATTATACCAACTTTTTAAAAATGCTTTTTAGAGTTTAAAAATGCTTTTAGGCTGGGAAGAAAAAGATTTTTAATAAAGGTTTCTAGCCATAAAAAAAAATAATATAAAATTAATTTTTTGTATATGGGCCTTCTTCATGTTCAAAATAGAATTCCAAATTTCATGCTGGCCTAGGCCCTAGGTTATCAATGAAAAAGTTGCGGAAAGGGTAGAGCACCGGAATGTTTTAAAGAAAATTAGAGCTCTTTTCCCTTATTTTCATTGGGCCTAAATATATTTCTTTTTTTTTTGAAGGAAAGCCTAAATATATTTCTTCATATTGCATAAAAGATTATAATTTTTTTTCCTTATTTAAATGGGGTAGTCGAAGTATTAAAAGAAAGATAAAAAAAAGTATTACTTCGTAATAGGTGTGGGTGGGGACCATGACTCCATGAGAAGATAGGGATATAATATTAAAATGTAGTTTTTTTGTCAAAAAAAAGTGTAACACTTATTAAAACACGGGTTACACGACCACGTTTGATAAGGGTAACATGTATTAAAATACGGAGAGAATATGTCAAAATTGATGAATATGTCAAAAGAGAAGATCAACATGGTATACTCTGTAGTCAAAAGGGTCTTTGACCCAAAGCATTAAATTTAATTTAGTAGGTTGGATCTAGTACTACTACTAGGGTTTGGTTGAGGAATGGTTGAATTTTATTATATTTTATTTTTTATTTTTTTAAATTTAGATGAATGTCATCATAAGGATCCAATCATCGATTTCATGAATTTAATGTTACAACTTGATTGTATATGAGGTACGTACGTACATGGTCGTGTTTATTTAGACTTAGAAAGTAGTATTGAAATAGCTTATTAGTTACACAGTACACTCCCTCTATCCTTTAATGATTTCCTTATATGTTTGTATCTTGATAACTTTTATTTAAGACTTTATTGACAAAGTTCACACAGGTTGGTAAAGTTATGTACACTATAAGAGAGAGAGAAGAAGCAAGTGGAAAAACATAATGAAAGAGACATAAGACAAATTCAAACGAACACCCTAAAAAGGTACATAGAACTATCTTAAAGAGGTAGAGGGAGTGTCTATACCAGGTAACCTAGTTAAAATTCAATTGCTTCTAAATATCGGGAGTATTATTTTGATGTGGTTTTAATTTGATACAAATGAACATGAAATACTACTAATAATAATACAAATTGAATTAGTAATAATAAGAAGAAGTGTAATGAATATATTTATTGTTTATATATACAGCCTTAAAGACTAAAATTTCAATTTTCTTTTAGGAAAAAATCATCATCTAATCTGACGTACATTAATGCATTATCATAAAGAAGAAAAAGTATAATTAACATTTATTTATATTTTTTTATATAGCCTTAAAGACTATAATTTCAATTTTCATTTAGGAAAAAATATAGCCTAACGTACAATATCATAAATCTGGGTGATCATGATGAAACAATGGCTATAACCTCCCGGACAATAACCTAAGTGATTGGAGTAAAGAACTAAAGACATTTATGTCCTTCTTAAAGTCTCCACTACTACCCACCTACTTAGCTAGTACGTAACTACTTATACTAAAGATAAATAATAAAGTGAGTTTATGGATCTCCGTCACTATCATGATTTATGAGTTTTTATTTTAAGGTAAAGGACTAAAAATGAGATTGATCGATCATTTCTCGACCACTAGTTTAATATTTACGGGCTAGATACTTGAAATTGGGAGGGTTGGGGTAGGGAAACAAGCTTATTACAAGGTGAACCCGTCTAACTAAGGGTTTGTTCACATTTACTGAATTAAGCTGAATTGAACTGAACCGAACTGATTGGAGCTGAAATGAATATTTTATGAGAGGGAAATTAGGAGTTGAGCTGAACTGAACTGAACTGATTGAAGCTGAACTGAAATTAAGTAAATGTGAAGATGCCCTAAGCTACACCAAACAAGCTTCATTCATGATTCAAGACTATGATGGCTATCACCATAGAATGGTCTTTTTATAAGTTTTTGAAATATTTGGAGTATTTTGACTTTTACGTGTGATAATGATCATCTTGACCTTTAATATGAGTATTAATTAAACGTTAAATTTTAACTATTGTAGAGTAACATCTTTAATTATCAATTAGACGTTAAATTTTGACTATTGTAGATTAACATCTTTAATTATCAAATTCTTAATCTAGCATGTCTCCTTATCAAAGGCTCAAAGCATATAATAAGGTGGTTAATTATCAATTCTGAAGTAAATTTTATAAAAAGCTAGACATGATGAGAGCTAGTGTGATATTTTTTAAAATTGAGTTAGAGAATGTATAGGTCCCTAATACTTCGAGTTTTTTTTTAATTTTTTTTGGAAACAATTCGTTAATATAAAGCCATACAACACCCTAATTGTAATACAGTAATAGTGAGAGTAGAGAAGTATTCAAAAATTGGGAGTTCTTGCCAAAAATACAAAGTGAAATCAAACTAGTTGGGGCAAATGAAAAGGAACGTGTATCGATTATTTGATTGGCTCGAGACATTCACCTTGTTGGGTCGCACGCATACTCAACTCTACATTAGCATGATATTGTTCGTTTTGGGTCTAATCAGCACGAATTTGTCTTTTAGTACCTTATAAAAAAGCCTCGTGCTAATTATGGAGTGTGGAGTCTGCTTCTACTTAAATGAAATTAAAGTTCTTTATTTTTTTGCTTTTCTTCCATGTGAGATTTGGAATGAATAACCCAAACACTATTTAGGACACGGGGATAAAATGATAAAGTATCTCTTAAAGATAGACCTTAACCCTAATAATCTATAATCTTTTATGCAATATGAAGAAATATATTTTTACATTCTTATTCCAAAGTTTTTATTTATTTATTTATTTATTTTTTATATTAATACATGGTCAAAGCAAATACCAAGTATATCTATAAAAAAAAAATTATAGTGGGAAAAAAAATGAATATCTTCATTTTTTTAATTAAAAAACAACCCTTAATATAGCTTAAGGGACTGTTCACATTTTGTGAATTGAGCTAAACTGAACTGAACTGAGCTGAACAAAACTGATTGGAGCTAAACTAAACTAAACTGAAGTGAGCTGAAATAAATATTTTATGAGAGAGGGAAATTAGGAACTGAACTGATGGAAGCTAAATTGAACTGAACTGAACTGATTGGAGTTGATCTGAACTGTACTGAAATTAAGTAAATGTGAATAAACCCAAAATTTGTATCTTTAATTTGTAAGAGAGTTTTGACAGTGAAAAGTCCATTCTTGACCAGTGCAAAACAGCTTGCACATTAATTTGCTTCAAGAATTTTCATGACTTTCCTATCTACTTTACGCCTATATATATCCAACACTTACTCACTCTTTAAGTACAAAAATATAACACATTAAAACAACAACAAAAACCTACAATAACACTTTAATTTAAGTACTTTAATTTGCTACTATTATGGGAACCCTTTACCAAGCTCCTCCACACTTACCTCAACACCTTAAAGTCACCATCCAAGATTCATGTTTAATTTATTCACCCCAAGAAAATGAACAAAAAACTATGTTTTTATCCAACATTGATCAAGTCCTTAACTTTGATGTTCAAACCATACATTTCTTTAATCCAAACCCTGAATTCCCTCCAAAAATTGTGTTTGAAAAGCTTAAGAACGCGTTACAAAAGTTGTTAGTCCCATATTATTTCTTACCGGGAAGGGTTAAGGTTAACACCGAGACCGGTCGAATTGAGATTGATTGCAAGAATGCTGGGATTGGGTTTGTGGTAGCTAGTTGTGAGTATACTTTGGATGAACTTGGTGATTTGGTTTACCCTAATCCTGCTTTTGAGGAACTTTTAACCAAAGAGCTTGATGCTACCTTGGGAGCTGATGGTCACCCTCTTTGTATTGTTCAGGTACGTTATGTGTTACGTAGTTTTTTTTGTAAATGTCGTATGACTTACTGTTATGTAGATAGTTCTTTTTTTTATTATTATATATGTCCGATATATTTTTTTTATTTAAATATATGGTGTATGTTTACTTGATTTTGTAAGATAATTTTGATTAAGTTTGAGATAAGTACAGTTTTAATTTTAAAATATAAATTATTAGTTAAAAAAGTTTGGTCTTAAGTGATAGATAGTTTCTACTAATCCTTCAAACTTCATGTCCAAATGATGATGAGCTAGTTAGTTTGTACTTTGAAGTAAGTCATACTTCGTAAGTAATAGAATACAGTGGTTAAATTTCAAAATTTTCACCATTATGTATAAATGTATTTTTTTTGGAGGAAAACCAAAAGTATTTTTAATGTGTATAATTTATATTTTGTCATAAAGTAGTCAAAATTTTAGTAGGTAAAAGCAAATTAATTAGTAGTAGAATGTTACGGTGTTCCCATAATTATAATGGATAAAGAATATACTCAAATAATCTAGTAGATTTAAGATGTTAGGTTATTAACACTTTATTATGCCAAATTTGACAATATTGCAATTTCTATAAATATATCAATTTATAGTTTTATACACTTCATTTTCAAGAGATAAATTTCATTTGCATTATACGTAGTATATCTTTTGTATAAACACTCTATGTCTTAATTAAAAACAAAATTTAAAATACTAGTACTAATATACGAAGTATATGTATAGGAAATAATATATACTTTTCAAAAATATACTTCGGAGTACATTAATTTTATTTTACAAGATATACTTCGTTTAAATCAATCATGAAAGAGTTGTAGTTCAATCAGCTCAGTTTGAATGTAATTCGTAAATTCGAGTTCCATTTAATGAAGCAACCTAACATTTTCAGCTTATTACTGAACATATTTAATGGTATTCCTAACTTGTCATAAGTCATAACACGACCTCTATCATCTTTAGAACTTGGCTCTAGCTTCTCGGATCAAACTCTTAGGGGGCGTTTGGTATAAATTCCGTAAACGGAATGGAAAGGATTTATTTGGGTAAGAGAAAGGGTAATGATATACGTTACCTTTGATATATGTTTGGTATCTTTATAAAATGGAAACAAATTGAGGAGTTTATGATTGAGGAGGGAAACACATTTTGTTTCCATTAGTTGGATAAGGGTAACAATTTGGGGGATTTTGTTACCCTTTGAAAACGGTATTTGTTACTTATAGTTCATACCAAACTAATAGAAATAGAAACACTTATTTGTTTACGTTTCTTATGTTATAAATTTTCATACCAAACACCTTCTAAATTTTAAGTATTACCCATACTTTTGTGCTTATACACTGTTTACATACTTTACTTTGATACTTATGTTGTGTGATTTTTATCGGGTCAAAAAAATGCAAGTTATTTTTAAACGTCAAATGTATGTCATTGTTATGGATTTAATTCAATTTATATATCCAGATAAGAACAAGTTATACATACCTTAGCTTTCATACCATTTATTTATTTTGACTAAACATTTAATTTTTGTACATAAACAAATTTATGAAGGGAGAAAATTTAATTTCCTTTAATGATACAAAGCTAGGCAGTTGAAGGATTTAAAGCTCGTTGCTTTTTACCTGTCAATCTGTCATTGGCAATGTTTATTGTTTACACCTGCCTTACGCAATAGTCTATCAATCGTTTTACTATGTACTAGTAGCACAGAGACTATGTTTTAAGACCATTTACGTTAATAAAGGGATGGTACTCAATAAATTTAACACTGTTACTTTTATATTGTACTCCGTACCGTATTGCGGAGATTAAGGTAAGGACTAAGGAGAAAGTCGTACCAAGAAAAAACCTCCCAAGACTCCTTAAGAGTGGTGGAGAGGATGGGTAGAGAAATCCCTACCGCATATTATAAAGCCCCTAGTGGATGGAATATAATTCTATAATCTTGTGATTGTGAGATGCATATCTTTTCACCAGCTCAAACTTTACTAGGTTTATACAATACTTGCAAGTAGTAACTATTATACCAAATCTTCCAATGTTGGAAACATCTGTAATTTATAACTTTATTCCGTGTCTAGTTTACCAATGTGGTTAAGTATGATTTGGACGAATAAGTTATCCATAGTATTACCTTTTTCAACACATTAAACTCTGTTTACAGTGTATTTTAACTACAATTTCTTACAGTACAAAATATTTAGCCAGTTTAAAAATAAACGACTTTCTAAATCAATGTTATATAAATTGAATAACAAAATTATTACTCATGTTATTTATTTAGGAACCGTGATAGTTACAAGTAACACAAAAAAAAAATAATCCATCACATTAAATATATTTGAATGTGTAGTCTACCTACATATTGAGGAGATTTCATTTGTTACTGTTGGTTCCATTATATTGCTTTGATGATTTTCATAAAAACCATGTGAATTTAATATCCTCTATATATCATCATTCTCTTTCCATGATCACCATTTTTTTTGTACGAAATTCACATGAAAGTACGAAAATATGCTTTATACCAACTCTTATGTTGTCAAGATAAAAAGAGAGTAAAGGTTGGTATAAGACATTATTTGTATGAGGCTCAACCACACTTTTTTCCCTTTTTTGGTTCATAATTATTGTTCGGTTACCTTCGTTTCATAATAGATATAACATATTGACTTTTTACATTATTTATTTAATTTACTAACTTTGAATACACTTTTTAAATGAAAAAAAGTCAATCATTATAGTGTATCTATTATGAAACGGAGGCACTCCCTTGTAAATTATAGGAAGAAGTTTATTTTGAAGTTAAGTCACATTATTCTTATAATTTGTGTATTAAGTGACATTTAAACCTCATTAGTGATATGAAAATGACATTTAAACTGTTTCTAGATAGTAGTTAGTTGTACACAATATTTCTCCCTTTCTTTTAATTAGTTGTCTAGAGTGTTACTAAATTTGTCAATTCTTTGATGTGAATGTATGATGTAACGATCCTCTTAGTAATTGCATAACACCTATATTTTTCTGTAGATGACGGCTTTTAAATGTGGTGGGTTTGCAATGGGTCTCCAAACCAACCATGCAATATTTGATGGTACAAGCATCAAATACTTGTTACAAAATCTAGCAGCCTTAGCAGACGACAAGCCTTTACCAATTGTCCCATGCAATGAACGTGAGTTGCTCGCCGCTCGTGATCCGCCACGTGTCACGTTCCCACATCCCGAACTCCTTAAGCTTAAGATCCCAATTGGCCAAGAGGGTGAGGGTGAGCAAAACCCTACTATCTTCGATACCACTCCTCAAGACTTAGACTTTAAAATATTTAGCCTTTCCGAAAAGGACATTTTTTACCTTAAGGCCAAGGCGAAGGCAGGGCCCACTAACGGAAAAGGTAAAATAACGGGATTCAACGTTATTTCAGCTCTAGTTTGGAGATGCAAGGCCTTATCTAATAGTGAAAATGATGAAAACAACTTATTAGAAAGGTCATCAACCATGCTATTTGCTGTTGATATTAGGGCAAAGCTAAACCCTCCTCTACCAACCTCATTCGCCGGTAATGCAGTATTAACCGCGTATGCAATGGCTGATTGCAAGAGATTAGAGGAAGCTCCACTCTCGGAGCTAGTGGACTTGGTGACAGAAGGAGCAACAAGGATGAATGATGAGTATGCGCGATCAGCCATAGATTGGGGTGAGTTATACAAAGGGTTTCCTAATGGAGAGTTCTTGATGTCTTCATGGTGGAGACTAGGGTTTAATCAAGTGGAGTATCCTTGGGGAAAACCAAAGTATTGTTGCCCTTTGGTGTATCATAGGAAGGACATCATATTGTTGTTTCCTGATATTAATGAATCCAATGCTGGGGTCAATGTTTTGGTTGCTCTTCCACATAAAGAGATGGCCAAATTTGAATCTCTTTTCTACAAGTTCCTATCTTCTTAGTTTGTTAGTTGTATTAGTATAAAATAGTACCTATTTGCATTGTAAGTATGGTATGAAAAGATGTCCTACCGAGCATGTACTGTAATGGTGTATGATAAGTGTAATTTTTAAGGTTTTCATGACTATTAGGATTTGCTAAAATGTTAAATTTAGTGTGATTGTATCCATGTATTAATTATTACTTGGCACTATGTATTTCATGATGATATTAGAGTGTTTTCCTTTATTAGTAATTATATATATTATATGTAAATTAAATTTTTGTGTTTTTTTTTTCATACACATGAAAAATTGAACTGCTACTTCTGGATCGTATTATATGCAATTTTGGAATTTTTTATATCTCACAAATAACACCCCAAAATTGCATATAATATGATCCGGAGGTTGTAAATAATATGGGTACAACATTCTGTAAAAGCATGCTGAACTGTCCAAATCTAATGGGCTTTTGGGTCCGGTTTAAAAAGGTGGGCTCAGACTAATTGTAAAATGTAAATGGGCTGTACCTTGATCCAACTCCGAAATATATGTAGCACAATTTTAAGTAATTCATTCACAACAGTGAGAAGACCAAAGAAAACATTACATTATTGATGCACCCCTGAAATTTTACAATACATTTTATAAAAAAAAAAAAAAAAAAAAAGACAGGGGAGAGGGGCACACCTCTAGACGAAAAAGAAAGGAAAAAAACAGAAAAAGAAAAAACTAGTACACATTAACTATTCCGTAACAGATTAATTTTTGAATTAAATACCTTGTAAACTTATGTAAATACCTATCTTTATAAAGACATTTCTTTTAGAGAAATACGGAGATAATAACTAATTTTAATATTTAACTAACCACCGTATGATGATCAAGGGTTTAAATATTAGTTATTAGTATTAGTTTATTGTTCTAACAAAAATGTCTTAAAAAGAAGGTTGTTTGTATAAGGTACTTATATTTTAGAAAGGTGCTGCAATTGTTGACAAATTTTACTCCTTATTATCAATACTCGTAGGCAGAATGTTAAAAAGTGCAGTAGATCATGTCCAGTGATCTGTTCACACTAAAGGGGGTGTGGATTTACAACCTTCTTCTACCAGAGCCTCCCTCCCTCTGGCAATTGAAATAGACGAAAGCAACGGGCAAGCCGAGGTTGTAGACTTCAGCAAAGTCTCTAGTGTTGAAGTTTTGGCGCCACCCAGGAGGATACACAGTTTGCCTTCCGAGTTGTCGAAACAACACAAAGATGAATCGATGTATTCCCACTGCTGGTCTTGGGTTCTCATAGCAAACTCTCTCTTGGCCTAAACAAAAGATAATGTCATATTAGAAACTGTGTGAAAACTTTATGAACAACATCAATGTTACCCTTTATATAAACAAAGGAAAGAATGCTAATCTGTTTAAACTAAATTATATTTACTTATATGTTCATAATTAGGAAAATAAGATGAAAATATGACAACAAGAGCAATGAATTGGTAAAGGCTAAAAATTTGAATTGTTCTGAAGTAACTTTTTTCAATATGAATCAATGCTCTATTTCTCATCTACAAATATTATTCTAAAAATCGTACAAATGATATGAAAATATGAAATGAGGGATTATAGTATAAAGATCAACTTTAATCTTATTTTCTGACCTTTAATAAATATTCTAGATTCAAATATTCTAATCATATATTTTGTCACTTTGAAAAGCAGAATTCTCCTTGACATGATCATAGTACCAAGAAGAATTTCTTACACAAACCAAGTTGAGTTCATTACAAGACATAGCACAAATTATTAGGCCACACATAGCTCTGCAATCTTCACTCTTTCTTCACAGATCTACATTTCACCAATATACACTACAATTCAAGCTAAGCTTAAAAAGAACCTCATGATATAGCAACTCCCTAAGATTACTAAGGCAGCCGAAAATAACCTTAAGGCGGAGCAAACAAAAGCGAATGATATTCGTGGTGAGCATTTAAGTACACAAAAGGTGAAAAGGAGAATGGGAAATTTAAAAATAAAGCAGCAAAGGATGCTTAATGAATTTCGGATGTTGGATCAACAAAGAAAGAAATTACCCTTTTTCATTTGTGTGGTCTTTTTCTTACAAGGAATAAACTTCTAAGGCCTCAACTTCCTCCCATGTAAGCTCCCACACCCACCTAAATTAACTACCTTTTCCTGTTTTTTTTCCCCTCCACCATCCTCTCTCACCTTTTATCCCACATAATCAGCACACCATGCCAGATATCACATAATACATCGATGAATTTTGTGGCATCTGATAAGTGTCATTTATGTCGCTATTTTTAGGAGTTTTCTAGTTAGTTTTTCATAGTTTTTCTATCTTTTTACTTGGTTTTAATAACGTTTTACTACATTTGTCATGTTTATGTGTGAAATGTCGTTATTGCTCAATTTTGGCTTTTCTTGCATATTTTGGTGGCTTATGACATTAGATTAAACTTTATTGGTTTACTCTTATGTTTAGGAACACTTGGATAAGTTCATTGCTCAAGATTGAAGAAATATAAAGCATAAAAGAACAAGTAATGAAGAAATGTGCACTTGATTTGCAAAGATCATACTTCAAACGCCTATATCTTTTGATCTAAAAAACATTTTGGGGCGATTCCAATCGAAGATGAAAGATTATCTTGAGAGCTTTCCAACGACAGGTCATATGCTCCATTCCGATGTAAAACGTGGGAGATATGCTCATTTGAAGCTGAGCAGTTTGCCCAGTCCGCAGCCAGGAGCGCCCGCTCCTCAAGGCCGCACGCCCGCTCCTCAAGGCCGCACGCCCGCTCCTCAAGGCCGCACGCCCGCTCCTCACAGGGTGTGCAATTTTGAAGTTTGGCAGAAGGTTTGGCAGAAAGTTTGGAGCGCCCGCTCCTGAGGGGTGCACGCCCGCTCCTCTACGCGCTACTCGACTTTTTGCGGAGCTTCCTAGGCAATTTAGTAAGGGCTATAAATAGATTTTTTTTGCTCATTTTAGAGGGAGAATTCATATTTTCAGTAGTTTTAGGTTAGTTTTAGGTTTTTAGAGAGAGAAACTCTCAAATTTTGGAGAGAGAAAGTGAGAGAAACAATGGTTTTCATGGATTTTGGATAATCAAAGGAGGAATTTGATGATTTGAAGATCTCCATTTTATATCAATGAGCATTTCTTACTCTCTTCTCTCTTTATGCTTTATTAATTGCTTTGTTAATCATGTTTGAGTAGATTTCCTTCTACTAGGTGTTGAGTGAAGCTTTGTTATGGTTAATTGAGTTATTTGAGATAAATTTGATGATAATTGTGTGATTAAATTGATTGAATTGATGATGGCATGTTGTTTGTTTTAGATTGGATTGATCTCCCAAGATAGCAAACTTAATTGCATGTTAGTTCTAGTTTGACAAGGGATTGTGAATTAGAATTTATATATTTGATTGCATTTTGGGTAAATTTCTTCTATGCACCTAGTCAATGAGGGATCTAGGCTAGGAATTTGAGAGATTGCTCTTGATGGTAATTAATTCCCATTTTAATTCTTTCTTTGCATGATTGATTATCAAATCGATTCCCATTAACTTGTTAATTGTTCAAAGTGGATCTTTGCCCCTAGTAGACTTTGTAATATCTTGATCTTTATATGTGTGTTAGTGTAGTTGTAGTGTCCACTATCCATAAACCGACTTCGGCATAGCTTAAGCATTAGATCGAGAACAATCCAACATTACCGTTCCTTGTGGTTCGACTCCGAACTTACCACTAGACTTGTTTAGGGGTTAGTTTAGGATTATAATAAATTTTGTTTGGCTGTGAGGAGGTTAGTCAACGACATAATTTCCCCGCGCTCAGCATCTACGGCTGTACTACTCAAATTCGAATACTAACATAGTAACATGTGATGTACTAAGAGTCAAACTCGACTATTTTGTCAAAAAATTAATAAGAGTCACATTTCCTCATTGTATCAAGTACTTAAGGTAAATTTGTTCAAAAAATAAAAAGTAGTTAAGGTAAATCGAAGAGTCTAAGCCAGTAAAAACAACAGTACTCTCCGGTGAGTCAATGAGCAATAATCACATCACCACAAAAAGTAATAACATGTTCATGCAGTATGTAGGGGCCCTAAACAGAAATTCCTAGCTATAGTGCCTAAAAACTACATCAAACAAATATTCAAATAGAAACATCCGGTGCTTGGATTTTGATTAATGATAAGGAAAACTCACCAAAGGATGCACCTGTGGACCCAGGAATATCAGTCACCAACCTTTTTTACCAAAAAAAAAAATGGATCCAGTTAGGCAATAAACAAGATTGGTGTATAGAGTATGTGCAGCTAAAAGCAGAATTTTTTATTAAAAATAGAGGGGGTTGAAAAAATAACTATGGAGTACTAAATTTTTTAAAAATTAAAACTCTAAAAAAATACAGTGCATAATAATAAAATAAAAATTAAAAACTAAAAGCCATTCATTTAATTGATTTCAGAATTATTTCAAAAAAAAAAAAATGATTTCAGAATAATTTGTAGGTAAAGCGAAAAACAAGTGCCAGGAAAAGAGAGGTGGGTACGTACATGATATGTACTTGTCTACTTGATGACGTCATCTTGAGATACAAGGCTACTACAGTCTTTCAATATACCTTACATTTTTATATTTTCACTTCTTTTATGTGGTAAAATGAATGCCTTTGTTATATATAATTCCTAGTATGCAAGAGCCAAGCACATATCTCAAGGTTCCTAATCTTCCAATGTCCTAAGAATAATCAATCAATCAATCAATCAAGTGAGAAAAGTTAAGAGGAGAATAACTTTAGTCTTTATTAATTCATTACCAAACAACTAAATCATCGTGGTTATCATTTATGTTTGCGAGTTATAACACTCAAACTCCATATTTGATAATCTCCAATCATATATGATACTCTCTCACGTCCATGGTCCATCTCCTTTAAGAAAAATGATAGATTTTCAAATGAAATCATCAATGTTTGTAAGAGAAACAATTATAATCATATACTAGGAATGCTTTGTATCAGAAAATCCGAGCATGGACCCTCCCCGCATTTCTTCTCTTCCTACCCCACCAGACAAGTAATATATATAGAAAAACTGCAGTATTTTACGTTTCAAAATCAACAAAAGTACTCGTACTAGGAGAAGAGGGTGAGAAAAAGAAGGGTAAATTTTACAATTCTAAAGGAGTGTACTCACCAGTGCAAGTACTCCCTCAGGTTTGGATTACTTGGGCTAGGAGCATCAGGGTCCACCATAACCTACAGAAATTAACGCATTTAGCAAAGAAACCACCATCAAATTTTTCTTCATACGAATGAGAAGATTCATTAGTTAAAAAAAACATGTAAACAATTGTTTGGAAATGATGAAGGAAAGGGCTGAAAGAAAGAAGACGATGTAATATCAACTTTATTTACAATGGATATTTATTCTTTGTATTTTCATTATTAGGTCAGCTAAGGGACTTACCAAGGTGTAGAAAGTCCTAAGGTCATCACCTCCAATCTCAACTCTTGGTTGATTAACAACCTGAGAGGGCCTGAATTCACATCCATTATTAACATCTCTATTGTTATAGCTTACCCTGAGATTAACAGTCCTACTGAAGGGATCCAAGACGTCGCCGATAACTCGGCCGACTATTAGAGGATCTCTTGGTGGTGCTCTAGGCATGATAGGGAATGGATTTCGATCTCTCTGTTTCTACAACTGACTCCTAATATAAGAAAAAGGCCAAGAAGTGTTGGGTTGCTAAAAACTTGCAGAGAAGAAGTTATGCGTGAGTACTTATATACTGAGTCCTCAACACTGCGCAGGTTCCCATCATCTATCATCGCATCTCATGTTGCATCATTATATGTATTAAGCATAATTTCTTTATTTCCAGTTATTTGCCTACCAAAAAATTTAAAAATATTTCTAGGATCAAAACTATAAGGGGCCCACTATACTTTCATTACTGTAATACAAATGTGGAGACTGATTCTTCTCAGAAGAATTAAGCACCCATTGGTTCAAAACTTTGGGAATTTTAATGAGGTAAGCTTTATTACTATTTTTATTTTGGGAATTAAAATAAAAATAGTAATAAAGCTTGCCTCATTATATTATGAAGAAAAATTTGATAGTGGTTAAAAATTTTACAAAGTGAAAAAAAAGAAGATTCATTAGTTTGGGACTTTGGGTCATTAGTATTGTGTCTCTTTTAATTTTGCCTTTTTTTGGCGGGGCAAGGGTGGGGACAGGGGGGGTTGGGGTGGGCGTGGGAGTGTGGGGTGGGGTGGGGGACTCGATAAAGAATAACATTCCTGCATAATATACGGGTATTGATACATGCAAACAGATGCAACAATGCAACATAGCGTCATAGCCATGCAGTCAGCCTGCTAGAGTGCTAGGTAGTGATATATTGATATATGTTATCAAATCATCGTAAGACCTAGACTAGATGTGGAAAATGGGCTAGAATGGTTTGGGACTTTGGGTCGTGTTTTGGTGACAAGTTATTCCGTTCAAATTTAGTTATGACAAAATGAAATTGGGTATTGTGAGTTTGTTTATACTACCTTTGATTTTTTTTAGTTAAATTTTAGGATATTATTTGTAAGATATAAAATATTATAAAGTTGCAACTAAAAAAAATCGGATGTAGTATTATTTTCAGTCACTATTATCTTTGGGTGATGTTGGTTACAAAGAATGATCCAATTAAGCTTGCATGATTATTCATCATTTTTTTTAAATATTGACAAAAACAATAACCCTTGCATGCATATGCTAGGAACCAGCCCGAGCCCAATTTCCGTTTTACATACTCTAGAAGACCCAAGAAGAATCTGTTATAGGCTTGCTGAGCTGGATGTTTGTTATAACCAATTTTGGGGTAGAAGGGTATAATAATAATTTGCTATAACAATTTGTTATCAGTTGCTATTAGTTTGTTATGGTGCTGGCATGCCTTAGCTTGGGTTAGGCTGTTAATTGGGGGTATTAATAGGAGGTTTGTTTTTGTAATGAGACATCAGAAAATAATTAATTACAGAAGTCTGTAGTTGGGAGAGCTCCTTCCTCTCGAAAGAAGGTGTATTACTGTTTTTCCTCGTTGAGTAATACAACGTACTAAGGCTGCCATTGTTAGCTTAGTCTCCAGCCTACATTGTTACACTGATTCCCAGCAGCATATTGATAATCTAATCATGAATTTTAAGGGAATACTTAGGGGATTATATGATATCTTATACTCTGTACTTCGCATATTGAATGTTAAAAGTCCATTCAATTTACACATTGTACCTTGGTTAACGTCTAGTACCTTCAGTCCTTCACTAGGAAACTATAAGATTGACGGGGGATTCCTAATTGAGACCCTATTATCTACAACGTAAAATAATTAAAACATAATAGCATTACTGAATACTCAATAACAACAGTATACAACTATAGAAAGTCACATGGTAAAGTATGCTTAATAACGCACACCTTCTAAACATAATTAACCTGATTTGACCTAATTTAATAATGAAGTGTTAGCTATTGATTGTCAAATGTCAAGCATGATTTACTTTTCTTTTCTTTTTTTTTTTTTTTTTGTGTGTGTGGTGGGGGAATGGTTAAAGCACGATTTACTTAGCCCATTTGATTGGTTGTATTAGTTTTATAGCGTGGTTGAAAATTAAATTTTCGTCTTTTCTTTTAATGTTATCCTATATGGGAAAATAAAAGGTGACATAAACTAGTTGCTCAAGCTAGTAATTACTCCCGCCGTCCCCAATTGTTTGCTCCACTTGACTTTTTTTGGTTGTCCCTAAAAGATTGTCCCTAAAAGATTGTCCCATATTATTTTTGGCATCTTTTTCCACTTGCTCTCTCTCCTCATTGATATTTGTGGCAACCCATGTACACTATTTTTTGCCCAAAGCCTTAATAAAGTGATTTTTGTGGTCGGGGCAAATAATTAGGGATTGAGGGAGTATGTTTTGATGAAAAACTAGTCAATTGAAAATTCATTCAATAAAATTATTTTCTCTAAAGTAAATCACAATAATTGGAGTTTTAGAGAGAAAGAGAGTTGTTCAGGACTTGGGTGAGGATATAAAAGAAAGAAATTGAGTAGGATAAGGAAAAGAATTTGTAAAAAAAAATCTACGGGAAAAAAATTTATAAGCATTCTAAGCAACTTTTTAAAATGTCAATCATTATCCTGGTTCTCTAATCATTGCTCAATAATAAAATTATCCTATTCACCATAATGTAAACGGGATTCAAACCACAATGAACCAATAACTTTCTCATGGACTAGAGATGATGCAATAGACAGCAATTAACGTTGTGTTTTTTAATTTCTTTCAAACTTTCAAAATGCTGTAGAAATAAACTTAATTCATCACTACCAGCTAGCTACCTTTCCCTGCTTACCCTCTCCTCAAATACCCTCACCTCCACCACCATGACTATACCATCACCATTTTGCCTCCCCCCTCCCCCTTATCACCGCCACCACGCCCTCTATTTTCTCTCTCCTCAGTTTAGCCTTCACCACCACAGCCATCCAATGAGGGCTAGGGGTGGAAACGATGATGGTGACACTGAGATAAGCATTGATGAAAAAGAGAGGTAAAGGGGAGGAAATTAGTTTATAACAGATAAACAGAGTAGTTTAACACTATTTGTATAATCATTTTCAAACAACCATTCAAAATTTATATAATAATTATGGGCTTATCCAAACTTGAAATTATTCTTGTCAAATTTTCAAAAGGGAAAAAAACCAGTGCAGAATTAGCCTGCTAGTTATCAAAAAAAAAAAAAATCTAGAATATATTGGCTCTCAAATTAAAATCTTCCTCCGTCATTGTCGTTGTATATGTTAGCAATGAGATCAAATTACATCACCAAACAAGAAAAAAAAAATTCTTCTAACATGTCAAAACTTCAAGCACAAGTGTCTATAAAGCACATTTCGAAAGTTCGCAATTAGGGCCAATCATGGTCAGATAAGAAACCTAAGCATAATTTTCATCAATAAAATCACCAAAGAGATAAACTTCATGCAAATATCTCATTTCCAGTCAAAAGGAAAAAGGATTTACCCCTTAAAAACTTTATTCGTTTTGCCTGATGATAACCTTGGAATCATATTTGCTTCATGCAAGCATTATCATACAGCAAGATGACCTTGTGTTATCTTGTCCAACTTCGCCCTACAGTAAAAATGGAGGGGGAGAGAATTAAACGGCACAGGAATAGTAACTCAAGCTACTTTTTACACGGAAAATCAACCAGGAAAAAACATACACAGATTTATATGTAGTAATAACATTTTCAACTAACAAAACCTAAACTAATTTTGCCTGCCCAACATTCAGCTTTATATCATATCACAGTTTAAGTTGTTGACATGCTAATTTTAAATATTGTTGGCTTATTTGGATAAAGAAAATCCAAAACACCCTAGATAACCATCATTTGTGTTGAAATCTATTGTGATAATACAAAGTATAATAGAGTTGATCATGGAGAAGACTAAGCCAAGTCGTAGCTAGAATAGGCCCATACTAAGGTGGGGGCATAAGATAAAGTCTGGTGCCGTCGTGCGGATATAATAAGACGAAAACGGTATCCCAAAAAACGGCCTGGCCATTATGGTGTTTTTGCTATACTGAGTCTACTTCCTTTCATAAATTCTTTGATAATCAACATTTCCTACGAGTACCATAATATTGAAGAATACCTACAAGGCTAGAATTAATGTGAGCCAAGTTCAGTTAAGAACGTCTTCCTTTACTATGATCACAAATATGTTGCAAAATTTTGATATATTTTTACTCTTATAATGAAAAGAGAATGAAAGGAAAAGCATCAACAGTTACTGTAAATTTATGAAAATTTGTACTAGTATAATTTTGGCAAAACTATCGGTTTTCTTCCTCCGACCTCCGTGCATCTTCTTTAATCGGGAATTAGAGAACCAGTAAAAACATACCATGTAGAGATTCCTCATTCAAAAATTTATAAAAAAAAAAAAGTGAGCAGAATAAGGAGTGAATATAATAAATCCAGGTAATTTATAAATGAATTTTCATCCAGATTTTTACGTACAAATTTTGAAGTTTCTATAGAATAAAATCACAGAACTTGTCTTTAGTTGGATTCAATTGAAGAACACATGACAAGTGGAAACTTTTTAGCCAAGAATTCAAAAGGTAGAATGCTAGAGGGTGTTGAAGGTTTGAAGCTTATATTTTCTCTTTCAAAATACTTATATATTATAAATAAAATACATAAAATTTTGACCACCAATTATTAATACGTATTAGAATATAAGCATTGCAAAAATAATAAAGAAATACTCCATTAAAAAGTCTATTGCTAATGCATATTTATATCATTATATGGTTCAATTCATAATATTAGCATCAAAAAGCATTCGTTCTTAAAATTTAAAGCAAAGGGAGTGATTTATCATTGCTAATTCAAGTAGTTGTTAATCATCATATTACTACGTAGTATAATTTATGCACTACATACAGAGTATTTAAATAATTACTCTAGTGCAGTAAAATATTTATTTAAAAAAGTTATACAAAAGACACAAATTTCAATTAGTGGAAAATTGATGACAAAATGAGGCATGTCTTATTTTATAATTTTAAATAGTACAAGCAGAGTATAAAATAATTCAATACAAAGTATAAGATAAAGACACAAAAGTTCAATGAAGAAAAAATAATAATGATGATTTCAAACTCTTAAAAAGAATTTAGGTAATCCTTTAGCCACTCAATTGGAGGACAATGCTCTAG